GCGAAAAGATAGTGCTTGTCTCTGGATCGATTTGAAGTAATTTAAAGTTTTTAAGAATGATGGATTTAGCTGAGTGGTTGTGAGGGTGAATGGAATGCGGTAGGAATCTTCCTTTTGTGACGTTTGTAGTGCTGAATGGCGATCAATAAGTTGGGAGCGGTGGTAACCCGCTTGAACTACAGAATCAGGGTAACCACGCATGACCCTAAATGCTACCAGAACTAAATCTATGCATGTTTCATCCCCGAAAAAACTTAATACCCTATTATCTCAGTCTCTTAATGTAGCTGTCACTGATAGCAAGGTAGAACAGGTTACCGAGGCCAAAATAGTAGGAGTAACATTCGACCACACCCTCTCCTGGGAAGGGCATGTTGAGACCCTGTGTAAAAAACTCAACAGCCGCATCACCTTGCTACGAAGAATTCAACCATATCTTACCCAGGTGGGGTCCCTACACTATTATAATGCCTGTATTCATAGCCAGCTTGTTTACTGCTCTAGTGTCTGGGGTACCTGCTCTCAAACACTTCTCCTCTGCCTCCTTCGTGCTCAAAAATGTGCTGCCAGTATAATACTTCAAGCAGACTGTTCTACTCCATCCATCTCGTTATTTTCTACACTCCACTGGATCTCTGTTTGCGACATTATTAAGTACAAAAAACTCCAGCTACTATTTTCTATTCTTGTTAATCCTGAAGCTCCTCTATGTCTTAAAGAGAAATTCTCCTTTGTATCTGCAAACAGTGCTCGTATGACCAGGGGTGCCGCATCGGTAAACTTAGTGGTCCCTCAGCCCCGAACAAACTCCGGCAAGTGCATGTTCTCCTTTGTAGCTGCTATTCTTTTTAATGCACTACCTCTTGAGATCAAACAGCTTGTAAGAACTCCTCCTGTCTTGCCTAATGCTCCTATTTCTTTCTCTGCTTTTTTTTTTAGCGCATGCTACACGAACTTTCATTCAAAAACTCAATTCCGTTACCCATCTTGAAGAACTTTGCTGCTTTGCATGCCGTTTCTTGCTTTACTGCAATTGCTATTTCTCCTGATCGTCTGAGTTTGTTACGATATATTGTTTATCCTATGCTAATTAGACATTTTCTATTGCATTATTTTTAAACTTCATTTTAAAAGTTAAATTCAATTAATTATTGTATGTATGTATTTTTAAAATTTTATTGTATATATTTTTGTTCTGTATTACAGAGGGCCATGTGTTAGAAAATTCTTAAAGAACAATGTAAAGAACATTGTATTGTATTGTGTTGTTTATCGAAAAACTGGCACATTGACTCTGATTTGTGGTGGAAATCAGAGTCATCACTACATAAATGACAAAGTCTTAGAAACTGAGAAAAAGGAATGGAATTCTTAATGCGAGGTGGATGTTAAGACGAATACAACAAGTAATAAATGCGAGTGTGTAGGTTTGTAATACACACTAGTGCATAAACCGTTGCCTTCAATTGAAACTTCAATGTCTAAAAAGGATAAAGAATTGTCAGAAATTTCCAAGGTATATTTCAGAGCTGGGTGAAAAGAGTTGACTGCGGTTATGAATTGAGTCAGCTCCTCACCGGTAGAGGAGGTGGTGCCAATACAGTCGTCGATGTAGTGACCGTAGAGTTCAGGTTTGGAGCCACTGTATTGGCTGAAAAATTGGTGTTTGACACGACCTACAAAAAGATTGGCATAGCTAGGTCCCATTTTGGTACCCATGGCTACACCATTGGTTTTGTTTGAAAAAGTTGTCCCTGAATGAAAAACAATTGAGTGTGAGCACTAGTTCGGCTAAGCGTAGTAGTTTTTCAGATTTAAGTTCCTTAACAGTACGTTGATCAAAAAATGTTTAAGGGCCAGAAGACATTCGCCATTAGGAATGACAGTGTAAAGTGATGTAACATCCATGGTGAAAAGAAGTTTGTTTTGTCCAAGGAAATTAAAGTCGCAAAAAATTTAAAGAGCGTGTTGGCTGTCTTTTATATATGATGGTAAAGTTTTGACGATGGGAGCCACAATTTTGTCTAGATAGCTAGAGATAAGTTCAGTAGGGCAACTGCAAACCGAGACAATGGGCCGACCCAGGTTGTTAGGTTTGTGAATTTTAGGTAAAAAGTAAATACAAGAAGTTCCAGGAGTGGTTATGATGATTTTTTTTTGCGGTGGCTGGCAATTCTTGTTTAGTTATGAGTTGGTTGATCGTATTCTTGATAGTGTTTTGATTGCTGGCAGTGAGGTCTTTGTTGACCTTTTGATAAAAAGAGGTGTCAGAAAGTTTCTGCAAAGCTTCTTTTTGGTAGAGGTCAGTGCGCCAAACAATGACTGAGCCGCCCTTAATGGCCGATAAGGGCGGCTCAGTCATTGTTTGGGGCACCGACCTCTACCAAAAAGAAGCTTTGCGGCAACTTTCTGACACCTCTCACGTAGCTCCATTTTCTGCTTTTAAAAGCACACACAACTCACAATTCCTCTATTCGCTCCAATGAAGGGCTAACGCTCGAAACATCAGCTTTTATAATCTTAACGGTGGCTAATTTACCATTTCAACTTTGTTTATATATTGAAATTATTTCACACTTTTCTAAAGTTTGATTACCTTGGCTCTATACTCAGTAAAATTTTCAGATCATGTGTACTTAAGGCATTTGTTGGTTAAGTATCAGTCAACATGTGGACCAAGTCTCAGCATAGTTAATAAAGGTTACCTACCGTCTCAGTTAGTATATTGCCTGATACTAGACCAAGTAACGACCCACATGTTGAATGGTATGGGCACCCTCATGACTAACATGCATGTCAGATGATACCCAGTTGACATGCTGCCATTATCTTACTGACACTCAGCCTGTAGTGTATTGATTATATATGCACCTATTTTAATTATTGACAACAAGCTTATACTGACCAGGTATTAATCAATATAATATATATTAATATAATGAGGATGCAGTTGTAAAATTTACATAGGCATGGAAATTTTTTGGAAGAAAGCAAGAGGGGGTAATATACTTTACTTCAACTGAGCCTCAGTCTCCACTAAGGAGTATAAATGGTTACTGGTGAGTTGTCAGGGGATTTAATGAAATAATTTGGATATATCAACAAAGTTGAAATGGTAAATTGGCCACCGTAATGATTACAAAAGCTGACGTTTCGAGCGTTAGCCCTTCGTCGGAGCCCTTCGTCTTTCGCTCCGACGAAGGGCTAACGCTCGAAACGTCAGCTTTTGTAATCATTACGGTGGCCAATTTACCATTTCAACTTTGTTGATATATCCAAATTATTTCATTAAATCCCCTGACAACTCACCAGTAACCATTTATACTCCTTAGTGGAGACTGAGGCTCAGTTGAAGTAAAGTATATTACCCCCTCTTGCTTTCTTCCAAAAAATTTCCATGCCTATGTAAATTTTACAACTGCATCCTCATTATATTAATATATATTATATTGATTAATACCTGGTCAGTATAAGCTTGTTGTCAATAATTAAAATAGGTGCATATATAATCAATACACTACAGGCTGAGTGTCAGTAAGATAATGGCAGCATGTCAACTGGGTATCATCTGACATGCATGTTAGTCATGAGGGTGCCCATACCATTCAACATGTGGGTCGTTACTTGGTCTAGTATCAGGCAATATACTAACTGAGACNAAACCGGCAGTCTAAATCCCACAGGGATCAATGAACGCTTTTCATTCCACTAATTTATTCATGTTTTTCTCGTTGCCATGCACCCACCAATAACGTAGCTCCATTTTCTGCCTTTAAAAGCACACACAACCCACAATTCCTCTATTCGCTCCGACGAAGGGCTAACGCTCGAAACGTCAGCTTTTGTAATCATTACGGTGGCCAATTTACCATTTCAACTTTGTTGATATATCCAAATTATTTCGTTACTCCCACTGACGCAGCCCCAAACAGTTTCTTTCGAAACTATCAGCCTTTACTCATTTAATGAAATACTATCAAAGGTTGGTGGAGAGGGGTTATTTTTGTTGGTCTAGCTTTCCATCTGGATGGAGTAGTAATACTCCTTATGGCCATGAAGAGTTTGATAAGTGCTACATACTGCCACTCAACTCTTACTGTGAGACTAAACCCATTTGAGCCTTGAACAAACCAAAAGTAAATGTTACAGATTCCACTTTACATGGAACCTTTGGTTGGATACCAGTAACTATGAAACCCCAAACTGTACTGTTGGCCAAAAGGATCACATGACTATAATGATCTGATATGTGCAACTGCTTCTGTTGAAGCTGAATGTTACCGCTTCTGAGAGAAGCTATGAAATATTTTCTGGTTTGATAAATGCCTCCGTGATTAGTTCCTTTTAGATAGAAAATTATGGTTAGCATTTCAGTTCAGTATAAGACCTCCTTTAATCAAGATAGTTTCTAAAATAGAAGACAAGTTAGACTGTAATCCCCAACAAAGTATTCAACCCCCCCCCCCCACAATGTTGGTATGCAACAACTTATTTGGTGATTATGTTAACTTATAGTTGTGATTCAAAGCAAAACTTGTTGTTAGTTTTTAACTTTTCTTGGTTCCTGGCCACATGTTCCTTGCCCAAATTATATTATTCTTAAAGCCGTGATTACAAGATACATAGGTAATTTCTTCATGTAATGATTTCAGTTGACCACTTCGATATAAGAATGCCTCAAAGAATAGGAAAAGAAATAAAGAAAGAAAAGATCCTATATTGGTTTGGTCTTTATTGAATGCACGTGTATCAATCAAGTGCCAATTCTAACTTGAAAAGAAACATTTACAGTATGATCAAATAATCAAATTGACAGTGGTCAAGAAAGTCTACCCCATGTAAAAAGACACAAATTGGAAAGCTGAGATTTTTTACCTGATACCAATATTTATCAGTAGGGTTGCTGGCAATTTGCTCAGATATCCACTTCAGGTTATCATCAAGAAACTTTCCCAGCTTCTCACAAAATTGAGGATCAGCATTGCAGAAGCTAGCTAACGTATTCTGATAACTTTTGTGCATTAGTTCTGCAGTTAAAGATCCCTCTGTCATTCCAGCTGCCTTTGCTTGCATTGTGTCTGATAATGATGCATTTGAATGGATCTCAAGGAAAGCCCATCTGTGGAAAGGAAAAAAACACCAGATTGAAATGATTATGGATGAATGAATGACAAAATAACAGACTTTTCCCCAATATTATGCAGGAACCTTCCTGAATGAAATAATACATTACAAAATAATATAAAAGACACCTTTCGACTAAAGTAAACAGTTAGCAACCCTACGTAAAATGCTGACTGGTATACTGCTGACCGAGTACCAGGGACAAGGAAAAAACTGTGATTGAACAGCCATGCTTCCCAAAGTTAATGTTTGTTATTTCATCTACCTTACGGGCAATTCGTAGGAGAATAAGCCCACCATTACTTAATTTGTAAGTACGTTACTGTTATTTACAGCTATACCTGTTGTTCTAGTAATTCTAGCTTGTATTTTCTCTTCTACATTGTTGTTCCAAAATAAAGCTGTAACATCGAGGAGAACTCTTCATAAAGAGACAATCTCTGGCAGTAAATTGTTTAGAGTCATTTGATCTTTCCTTTACATGTCTTGAACAAAATAGAAAGTTTATTTGGAGGCTACATACTGTTCATAAGCTATAAACCAATTTGAAATGAAAAAAGAAAAACAGACTTGTTGAAAAAACAATGAACCTAAAACTTTATTATTACACGACTCGGGCAGTCAGAGGGCCAATAACTAAAATCAACCAATCAAAATGCTCTGTTGCCGGTCCGATATTCTCTAAGTATTGGACCGGGCACTGTCCCGAATGGTCCCGAATGATACCGCACTTGTGTCCCTCTGAACTTCAGTCGTATAATAAATCTCTTATTAACCAAGCTTGCTTGGGGCCGTACTGGAAGAATATTGGCCCTCGGTCTTTGTTGTACGGACCTCGCTGCGCTTAGTCCGTACTGTCAAGACCTCAGGCCAATATTCTCCCAGTACGGCCCTCGCGCTTGGTTAATAAGATATATTATTATTATCCCTTCACTAAAATTTTATTCCTACAAAATAGTATAAGCTCAATTAAAATAAAATCTGTCATAGTAGGTCTCATTTCACATAATTATTTCATTCTAAAGTTTACATTCTAATTGATTACCTTCTGTTACTTCCTAATCCTATCCTTCACTATTTCTGAGTTCAACCCAACTCAAGTGAAATATCATGGAAAATCTTCTTTGAAAATAAGAATATATAAAAAAAATCTAAAAAATTTAATATTCTTGTTGAATAGACTTGTTGAATAATGATGTTTGGAGGAAAAGTACATGTATGCCAATCAAATTTAAAATTGTTTGATTCATTTGCAGATTGAATTTTCTTAAAATATTAAGTTTTTTTCTTAAATATTTCACTGGTTTCCAACTTAACTTCTTATCATGTAACCTGCAGCAATATCTCTCTAAATTGTAAATTGAACAAGGTTTTTTTTTTCCCCATTTCCTGTTGTTGAATAGCAATCAGCATACCAATGTATATCTATCTACAAAGTTAAAGAAAATCTGTACTATCATTGCAGAGTCTCTCTGAACTCTCCAATCAGATTTGTTTTACACCTGGTTGAAAGATGATAATGACAATCAAAAGGAGTCACAGATGTTGTTTTGGGCAATGGGCCCTTTAACCTTATGGAAAGTTTCTCAACCTCTATTTGCTTGGGCTTTCCGAAGGAAACGCCTGTGTTATAAATTCGGCTTAATTTTTTTTTTTTTTGTCATCTTTTGCGTTCAGTCACAAAACGCAGTTCCACTAAAGCGCATGCTTGAAATGTAAACCCATGCGAAGAATTTAAGTACTTTCAAGGCCTTGAATTTTTAATTTTAAATTCAAGCATCTTCAAGGAATTTCAAGGCTTTTACGAACCCTGAGTAGGTAATGGATTTGCCTTTAACCGTAAGGAGAAGGGGATTTTTTTATCTATTATTGGTACCGAGTCATAGTTTGTTGCCAATTGTTCAACCAAGGGGAGTTGTCAGAAATCAATAGATTGAAGCAACATTACTGTTCAATAGTTCATATTGTTTTTAATAGTAAAATCTGAAACCGCTAGAGTGAGTGCTGTTGGTTGAGCATCAATTTTGGGAATTACATTAAAAAAACCTGTAAGAACTTTTTTGGACCATTTTAAACGTGATAAAAAAAAACCTCTACATACGTAATATGGACTAAAGATATTTTAGACTTGCGGCACTCACCCGGTGTAGTTGATCTTATCATCGAATTTACCCCAGGCGACCATCGGCTGAGAAGAATCATATCCAGGTTTTAAAACCAAAGTTTGGCCATCACTACCAAGTACCACAGAAGCAAGGTTTTCATCCCCGTTCGCTTGGAGAATGCAAGCCAAAAATGCTGGCAAAAACAGGAGAAAACACTTCAAGATTATGGGAGCCATAGTTTCCTCCTAATCACGAGATAGCAACAGTAGACCACTTTCGAATTCCTTCGGTCAGCATTAAATTCACCACGGTCGAGAGGGCCTGAGATGGACAAATAGACACCTCATGACATATTATATCTAAAGTCTATCACTTCGATGTAATACTTGTTTGAGCATCAAAGCGTCAAAACGTATTACTCAAGATCTGGTAGGTAATAATTTGTCGTTCGATTATAGTATCTAATACAGTTTGCACAATTTTATGCAGATATTTAGATATCTAGTTGGTACGGAGCCCGTAAAGGGCCATTATCAAACATAATTATTTTGATGAGTTATTTGACGAGTTACGTGACGAGTTATTTGACGAGTTACGTGACGAGTTATTTGACGAGTTACGTGACGAGTTATTTGACGAGTTACGTGACGAGTTATTTGACGAGTTATGTGACAAAGTGATCCACGTACACGTGCAAGTCGGTCTGAGATGGACATGGTAGATACATCATTCAACGAGGTAGGTTTAACACAGTTTCTGGTACATTTGCTGCCCATGAGTTCCACTGGACTAAACACACGAAGATTTATGGGTTGTCGCGTTTAACTACCGTCACAACATTCAGAAAATTATTCAACATTCTGATAATGCTTTGGTTTTTTACCCATATTTTATCTCTTGCATAAAGGTGGACTGGATGTTACCACAAAAAGAAATGGTTCACCTGTGTCCAGTTCTCTGGAGTACAGGGTGTTGCAGTTATTTTGTGAAATGGGGTTGACAGGCCTACACGACTCCCAGCGCGTGTTTAGAATAGCCTATTCAAAGTTTGGCCCTCACGAGTATGTCTTTGAGCGACCGCCCTCTTTTGTAAGATACGAGCGGCGGATTTTTGTATAGTTCGCTCAGTAGTGGTTGTGTTTCTATGAAATGCCAGTTTTTCATGAGAATTTGCTTTTAAATTAGGTTTGGTTGGTAAATTAGGATGGTTGGTATTGTATAAGCAAAGGTAAGATTCGTTGGTTCGTCTTTGGTTTCTGTTGAAGAGCTAATNTTCGCCAAAATAAAGTTAGAAGTTTGTTGAAAGGAAAACTTGATAAGTGCACCACTTGACTGAGCCCCCTCCTACAATAAGTGCCCCCCCCCAGATCTTAACTGAAATTGTAATTAGTGTGTAGGGGCTTACGGTAGTTTACGAAACGAAACAAAACGAAACGAAGCGAAGCGAAACGAAACAAGGTTCGCAGACAATTTCTTTAGGCGCTCTGCTCCCGAAAATTGTCTTACTAGATAAAGCAAAGACAGGCTTACAGACGCAACAAGAAATTATTCCCTCTCTTCGCAAACTGTTCTCGCTAGATGCCTTGTTTCGCAAAATACCAATAACGGCCGGCTTATGGTATTTTGCGAAACGAAACGAAACAAAACGAAGCGAAACAAGGTTCACAGACAATTTCTTTGGACGCTCTGCTCCCGATAATTGTCTTGCTAGATAAAGCAAAGACAGACTTACAGACGCGACAGGAAATTATTCCCTCTCTACGAAAACTGTTCTCGCTAGATGTCTTGTTTCGCAAAATACCAATAACGGCCGGCTTATGGTAATTTTTTTGTACAGTTCAGTTTTTTTTCGCTTTTTATTAACTGTGATTTTCACCTTTTCCTTACTCTATATATTGGTAACGTTGGAACATGTACAGCGTCCAGTTTGGCGTCTGACTTTTATGCGCTTCCTGCGCTTGTTAGTTGCTAGCCGTGACCAATCTTTGCCAAACAGATCTATATCCAATATCACTTCCACTTCTTCGTTGCTCTTGTTCAATAGCGACTATAACAGTTCTCAGGTCGGAAACGTTTTGCTGTCTTTTAAGGCCTCTACGGGCTAGTATTATTTTCAACTGTCGCAAACTGAGTTCTTCGTCATGCAGTAATAGAAGACATGAAAGCATTTCTGCGTGGTTGTATCCAGTTTAAAAGTATTACTCAATTAATTCATCACGAAAGTTTAAGGCCAAACGCGCCGCCAAATTTGCCCCGTCTATACAAACATAACCCAGGCTCTTGCTTTACAACAACCCGTCACGTTAGTCGTCACATAACTCGTCAAATAACTCGTCACGTAACTCGTCACATAACTCGTCAGATAACTCGTCAAATAACTCGTCACGTAACTCGTCACATAACTCGTCAAATAACTCATCAATTAATTATGTAGTAGTAGTGAACTTTAGTAGTAGTGAACTTTAGAAGTAGTGAACTTTAGTAGTAGTGAACTTTATTTATGTGTCGTGAAAACCTAGCGCATAGCACTAATTGGGGACACAGGGTAAAAGCTTTAAAAATAAGAAATCTGGAACCTATTTACAGAATTATTTACCTAACCTATTAACAGTTAAAATTATTTATCAATGTCCTAGAGTTAAAAATCAACTATTACAAAGCGCACATTTTTTGTATCCATCATCAATCATGACAGTCATGTCCGTTCTCCTGATTTTGCTCTTAAATCCGTGCAGGCT